CTTTAATTTAGTAGTCCCCGGGATTCATTTCGGGCTATTATCTGTTTAGTTACCTATACCGGTAATGGGACCTTGTTTGATCGAAAAGCCAACTTTATGGCTCAACATTAATTTACACCATTATATAAATATTATCTAGACCAAGATGAATATTATATGTGGTCCGTAAACATCGGACGGTCCCCGCCCATGTGTGGGCCCAACATGCACTCTACTGTTCAAGTAATAGTAAAAATGAGAACACGTCATCTCGTAAATTCATTAGCAATTTGTCATGACTCAATATGTGTATTGATATTTTGTGACATTTTAATAAAATGTTACACATCTTTTTAAGTGATCCGAAATGTAAAAACAGATAAAATCTTATCTGTTTGTTCCCAAACTAAAATATCTTTAAGGTAGGGTCCTCCAAAAGTACCCTCCTTTAATATACCAATTAATCAATATTAATCATCCCATTATTTTTTTTGGGTTCTTAAAATATTTATATTTCTTCTGTTATTAATTCGGATTCTTTTGAATTATTAACAGTTCGATAATTAAGGGCTCATAACTATCGAATAATGGTCTCGACCCACTTGGCCATCCAGTCGTCGTGTTCTATATCACTGGGGTCCACGACCCATTCCTACTATCATAATAGTATCTTTTTTTCAAACAATAATATTTTATAAACTTGAAATACCATGAGTGGTCCCACATCTAAATTAATAACCCTTTATTAATTTAGGACAAAATTTTACTTTCTCATTTATCAAGACTACTCTTAGTCTTGATTTATCTTTTTTTTAACCAAGTACTTTACCAAAAAAAATTTATCTAGGTAAAATTCGGGTCCGGTGTTACAAAATCTCATTCCCGATAGGGGTGGACCCGGGTCGGCCCGCCCGGCCCAGAACCGGCCCGACTCGGTACTATTTGGGCCTGGCCCGGCCCGGTTGGCCGCTCCTCGGGCCGGTTCGGCCCTACCGAACCGCTCAATTCCCGGTGCGGGCTCGGGCCTCCTAAAAGTGGAACCGGCCCGGCCGATCTGGGCCCGGTTCGGGCCTAATTTTTTCACATTTTTTTTGTTTCTACCAGAATGGGTTGGGTGTTTTGGGGGGGTTTGGGGTGAAGGGGGGGTCGGGGGTTAATTACAAAAGCAAAAGAATTAATAAAATGAACTTTGAATATCTTATTGAGATCTCTTTATAAATGAAACAACCATATAATATTTTTCTAACTAATTGATTAATTTGTAGGATAATATAATAACGGATGAAATCTCATTCCCGATAGGGGTGGACCCGGGTCGGGCCGCCTGGCCCAGAACCGGCCCGACTCGGTACTGTTTGGGCCTGGCGGCCCGGCCCGGTTGGCCGCTCCTCGGGCCGGTTCGGCCCTACCGAACCGCTCAATTCCCGGTGCGGGCTCGGGCCTCCTAAATGTGGAACCGCCCGGCCGATCTGGGCCCGGTTCGGGCCTAATTTTTTCACATTTTTTTTGTTTCTACCAGAATGGGTTGGGTGTTTTGGGGGGTTTGGGGTGAAGGGGGGGTCGGGGGTTAATTACAAAAGCAAAAGAATTAATAAAATGAACTTTGAATATCTCATTGAGATCTCTTTATAAATGAAACAACCATATAATATTTTTGTAACTAATTGATTAATTTGTAGGATAATATAATAAAGGATGAAATCTCATTCCCGGTAGGGGTGGACTCGGGTCGGGCCGCCCGGCCCAGAACCGGCCCGGCTCGGTACTGTTTGGGCCTGGCCCGGCCCGATTGGCCGCTCCTCGGGCCGGTTCGGCCCTACCGAACCGCTCAATTCCCGGTGCGGGCTCGGGCCTCCTAAAAGTGGAACCGGCCCGGCCGGTCCAGGCCCGGTTCGGGCCTAATTTTTTTCCCATTTTTTTTGTTTCTACCAGAATGGGTTGGGTGTTTTGGGGGGTTTGGGGGTGGGGGTGAAGGGGGGGGGGGTCGGGGATTAATTACAAAAGCAAAAGAAAATAAAAAAAATAACATTGAACCGGAACCGGCCTAGCCCGGTCCGGCCCGGAACCGCTGCCTACCCGGGCCGGTTCCGGTTCTCCCTTTTCCAAAGAAAAAGTCCGGCCGGGCCCAGGCCCGAACCGGAACCGGCCCGGGTCCATCCCTAATTCCCAGAAGCTTACAAAACCAAACGTACTAAATAGTTGTGTGGGGGTTTATTTTGGTGGTTGGAAGAGTATTTTTTGTGACAGGATAGGATAAAGCTTTATCAGTTTTACGACGAAATTCATCAAAAAATGTGAACATCTCGAAAATATTGTATATTGCCGATGATATACCACAACAAAATATATAAAATGTGTAAAAACACAAGTGTATAATTAGAATTAATCTCAAAATCAGAGGCACGAAAGGAAACAAAAGCGTGCTTCAAAATGCAATCATCCAATAACCACGTACACGTACACAAGCCGTTCGAAGTGTCCAAACACCACCCGTGACTACCTCTATTGTATCAAGTTGGGGTGTAGGACATGTGATGGTCAATTCCACCTTATATAGATCTATCCACAAAGCTACCTTACATAATTGAATGTGGAGCCTTATAAACAGAAAGAAAGGGAATACGTAGTACTTGTAATGGAGGCTACCCTTCTAAAACATACCTTACATAATTAATCATTATCATTTTAATATATTTAATATTTTGACACGATCATAATTGTAATGTAAATGTGAAATTGTGACTATTTACAATATCAAAATTATAAACGGTGCAAGCATGATTCAGTTGTAATTCATACTATGTCTTTGATGAATATATTGTTTTCGAATCGTTTGTCTTAAAAGGTTGGAGCTAGGGTCTATAAATCATACATGTACATCTATTCAAATGGGCATTGGATAAACCATTTTCGTTTAAAAATATTGATCAATCTCACAAAACTTTCTATCCATTAGCCAACCCGTGACCTCTCTTGTATCAAGTTGGGGTGTAGGACAGGTGATGGGGTAAATACGGTGGTCAGTTCCACCTTATATAGAGCTACCCACACACCAATCTAAAAGGCTACCTTACATATTTGAACGTGGAGAGCCTTAGAAACAGAAAAAAAAAGGAATGGCTGCTAATACCCTTGTCAAGATGTGCTTCCTCCTCCTTGCCACTTCTTCAGTCATGCTCCAACCAGGAGACTGCTACACCTTCTGCAACATGACGGGGGACGGGCTCAATGCGTGTAAGCCGGCGGTGACTCAGCCGCCGGCGGAGCCGTCGGCAAGCTGCTGCAGCTCGCTGTCGGGGGCGGACCTGCCGTGCCTGTGCAACCAGAAGAAGAGCAACCCGATGATGATGTCCCTTCTGGGAATTGACCCTGACCTTGCCCTCGCTCTTCCACCCAAGTGCAACCTCACCCTTCCTGCCCAATGTTAATTAATAATTATCCACGCATTATTATTATTATTATTATTATTATTATTATTATTATTATTATTATTGTTGTTGTTGTTGTTAAATAATTAATAATTAATTAATTATATCTGTTGTCTGATCTTTCGCTCCGTAACTAGCTAATTAATTAAGCTTTCAGTGCATCATTTTAGTGCTAGGTGGTGGATGTTTATTTTTATTTTTAATTTAGTTGTTGATGTAATAAAATTGTTGGGTAGAAGAGGTATGTGTAATGGTCATTTCCTACTTTCCTAGGGATGTTATTATATGTTCTTAATTTGTACTCCGTCCCATTATTACTCTATGTTGTCTGTTGTGTGTGGCTACAATTGGTGTGATTTTTAATGACTGGAATGGGTAGCTCAATGTGAAGCACGGATACTTCCCTAGGGTAGCGTATCGGCGTATCCGATACGTTCCCGTATCCGATACTCTAGGATACCCGTACCGTACGTTCCCGGGCCGTATCTGCAATTTTTAAAAGTTTCCATTTTTTTTTGTAATTCTTTGAAAGTTTCCGATACTCGTATCCTGACGAATACCCGTATCAACTTTTTTTTTAAAAAAAATCCCAAAATTTACTTAATAAAATTCTAAAAAAAATGAAAATCTAAAACTACATTTTACTTTGTAATCAAATAATGGGCCTATATGGCTATATCCGAATTAAGTCATTAACTCATACTTCGAATTGGGTACTTGCACTTTTAATTTCAAGATTGTAGCTGTTTGACTTATTTCTCATTTTAAATTAATGACTTATTGACTACATTTATATTTCGAGATACACTAGTGTATATGAGAAATATTATGAATTTATTACTAAGTATCTTGAAAAAGGAAAATGTTTCAATGCAATGAATGGGTAGACATCATAGGATATTATATGTATGTATATATATATTCAAAAAAAATCTATTTTTAATATTTGTAAATACACCCCTATAACTTTTAATATTTGTAAATACACCCCCATAACTTTTATTATTTATAAATATGGCCCCGTATCCGTATCCTACTTTTTTTGGTTTTGACGTATCCCCGTACCCGTTTCCGCGTTTCCGCGTTTCCGCGTACCGGTATCGGTGCTACATAGGTGATGAAGTGAGGTTGTTTAATTTTCGGTAGTGGAAGTGTGAGAGTTTCATCCGATGTAATGGTTATTTGTGCACACCAACGGTCCTAAATCACCTTAATTAGAAATTGTTTGAAGTTATAACGTGACTTAATCCTTCGTCATTTTGTCGGGTAAGGGTGTGAGGCGCTCTGAATGGACGAATAGACCTTTGGATTGGTGTGATTTTTAAAGCGAGTATAAGTGAAAAAGGTGGGTAAGTTCAGTCACTCACGATAAGCTAAAAAAATCCAATAACAAACTTTGACGAATTGTAAGTGGTAACCATCCGGCCGGTCCGTCCATAGTTTGATGAAAGGACCGTTTCAATTTGGACAATTTTGTGTCCATCGTTACCATCATCAATTCATCACGCACTCACAATAAACTATACTCCGTTTTAATTATTACTCTTATACGGAGTATATAATTAAACAGAAGCAAAGGTTAATGAGCATTAATTATAAAGAATTCCCTACATATGACTAAAATATAGGAAAGTATCCTCAGTAAGAAGTAAAAAATGTTTGTAAATTCCTAAACAGGAATAACAAGTTTTTATTCTTGAAATAAGAGTAACTACTATCAAGTTTCGTCATTACTAGGATTTAAACGTGAGGTATTATCCAAGATTGATTATCCAAATTGACAGTAATTACTCAAATTTGAGGAATAAAAATACCTTTTTTGGAATTTTAAAAGTTTTTACTTCTCTTTAGGAATTTGTGTCTAAAACATAAGCAAAGTTAGTAAATAGGATTGACAATTACTATCTTCCGTCTCTTTTTAATCGCAACATGTTGAATTTTACACTATTCACATGTTCTACTTTGACTACATTTTATATTATTATTTTATGAAAATTATTTTTTAAAATATTTTTACTAATAAAGATTAAGATATAATTACAGTCAACGACGTGCATTGACAAGTGTGAAATGTTGACCGTTACAATTAAAAAAGAACCGATGAAGTATTATTTTCTTTTTAAAGGAAGACTCAAATCACTCAATCATTTCCTTTCCTTTCAAAAAGAAAAAAATCACTCAATCATTTACTCCTTATTGAAGAAATTTTATAATCTTAATAGGGTCAAATCATTCATATTTTGAGAATAAAATATAAATAGTACCATTTGTACAATTTGTGTATATTTAGTCCTATTTTAAAACAATTTCTTTATTAACTATGAGAGACCGGAAGTGTAAGGAATACTTATGGCCGGTAACCAAGAGTCGCCATCGATGAGCTTTTCCACCGTGAACTTCGAAGCCTCCGCCGCGTCGTTGATCACATGATAACCGCCCCAGCTGACCCTTCTTGCCGTTGACGCCCCCATCCCATAGTTCTCATACTCGCCGTAGTACACCGTGTCCAGCGGAGCATCCCACGCCAGCCATCCCGCCGGATCAATCAAGCCATCCAGGAACGTCTGCATAAACACGGTCGTCGCATAATTCCGCCACGGCCGGCCCAGATACGTCTTCACCGTGGCCAGATCGGAGAACTTCACGTCCGGCGCCGCCGTGACCACGCAGTTCTGGAAAGATATTCCGCCGACCCTGTTTTTGTCGTCCCGGCCGTCGGCGGTTATGGTGTTGACCTTGTTCGGCCCGGGGTTGCGCACGTAGATGTTGCAGTTCTGGAACACCGCTACGCCGGCGCCGAAGATGAAGTCGACGGTGCCGTAGATGTCGCATTCCCGGTAGAACTGATGGTCGGAGCGGTAGAACAGAGTGTCTTGATAACCCTCGATGCTGCATTGATAGAACACTGCGAAATCGGAGTAGCACCGGGCGGCGATCGCCTGTCCGTTGGAAACTCCGGCGGTGTTTTGGAATGTTATGCCTCGAGCAATGAATCCGGATCCATCCACGGCTAAAAAATTAAAGTGCATGAAAACCATTGAAAAACACAATAAGTTGAAGCAGATGTTTAGGCTATGTTTGGCATGCATAAGTGTCTTCTAGTTTTTGTACTATTTAAAAAGTTCTTAAAAGTTTTTAGTTGTGTGTTTGGCATGCCAATTATTAAGAGCTTCTATAAAAATAAAAGATCTTTTTTTAGATGCTACAGTGAGTAGCATCTCAGATAAGTCTGTACCTTCTAGCATTAATTAGTCCCAACAGTTCGTATACCAAACATAGTTAAACCAAACAGTTAGCTTTTTATCAAACAGCTACTGCATTTTTCTTTTAAGATCTTTTCAGTCACTAAAAGCTAACAGTCACTGAAAAGTTCATAAAAGTATCTTTTCAGTTAGTTGTGCCAAACATACCCTTAATACTTCCTCCGTTCTCTTTTAGTTACAACGGTCAACATTTCAAACTTGCCAACGCACGTCTTTGACCGTAATTATATCTTAATCTCTATTAGTAAAAAATAATTAAAAATCAGATTTTGAAAATTTGTAATGAGATGAATTGAACAATATTTTAAAAAATAATAATTTTCTTAAAATAATACCATAAAATGTACTCCCTCCGTATCAAATTAATTGACCCACTTTCCTTTTTTGGTGTATCAATTTAATTGACCCATTTCCCTTTTTGGAAAGAATCTCACTCAAAAAGCAGCTACAGTACTGCTACAGTACCGCTACAGTGTCGCTACAGTACCAAAAACCTCTTACTTTTAATAAAGTCTACAGTAATTGTCTTAAACTGCGTGAAAAAGAAACGGGTCAATTAATTTGATACGGAGGGAGTAATCAAAGTAGAATATGTGAATAATGCAAAATTCAACATGTTGCGATTAAAAAAACGGAGGATAATAGGAAATAACACTCCATATCATTCTATTTAGCAAAATGTGTTATGCTATAGTTGTATTTGACTACTCAATTTGCTACTCCCTAGTTATAAAATGCAACATTTGAAGCGTGGAACAAAACATTGTCCAAAAACTTCTTTGTACCGGCTCATTGCATTTGAACCAGGGCTCTGATTATACCATTGATTCAACTATACAACAAAATGATACGGGATAATATGCCGATCTCAAATTTGTTCATTTATTTTTGTTGTATATTTGAATAATTGCTGTATGAACTAGTTATTCAATTATTCCTATATTATGTACGTATAAATTTTGAATTGAAATTCGGAAAGGTCAATCTTGAAGCTGTATTTAGAGTAGTGGAAGGCATCTCATCAGGGAGCATTAGATTGATGAATAAAATTAGAGGTGAATATATTGTTTTGGTTTAACCAAATCTGACTATATCAAGTGTCGAATCCATACAAATTTGATGAGTTTGCTAATATTTTTTTTCAAATCGCATTAAACGGAATTGTAATATAAAAAACCAAATAAAACCAAACTAATTAGAATCCATAAAATTAATCTTAAAGGATTTAAAACAACAAAATTTAAACCAAACTAAACCGAATGAAATTAAACTGGAACATAGTATAGTTTTTATTCAATAATCAATTTTCCAATTCGTTTCAAAAGAGAATGCGGTGGAAATTGATAAAACTCTAAGCAAGACTAAAATAAAAAGAGCAAATTCGATCGGCTCTACGTAATCAACTATTTGTTTTACGTTAGTGAAATAGGTGGAAACCATTATGAATAATCGAGCATGATGGATTGATGGGGCATGCACAACAAAATATCCCGTTTGAAATTTACTACGGAGTATTTTTTTTACCCTTAACAAAAATAAAATGATGTTAACAATATACGTAACACCACGCCATACTCTTTCACGAATTCATCTTAGAGGAAGTTTTACTCACTAGGGAAAAGGGGCAAATAAGCCCATATACTAATAAAAAAAGGTCAAATAAACTCTTATATAGGAGGCTCTGTCCGGCCGTCGCCATTTGGGGCGCTTCCCGGTAGAATTTTTTGATGAAGTTTTTTGAGCATCTTATTTATTAAGACTAGTTTACTTATACCAAATTTTAGTTAACAATTCAATCGGAAAGGCATACAAATGAATTCTTGAAAATAACTGCGTTTTTAACTGCACAGTTATCTTCAAGAATTCATTTGAATGACTTCTTGATTGAAGTTTTAGCTGAAATTTGGTATGGGTAAACTAGATTTAATGAATAAGATGCTCAAAAAAATTCATCAAACAATTCCACCGGGAACCGCCCCAAATGGCGACGACCGGATAGAGCCTCCTATATAAGGGCTTATTTGATCTTTTTTTGTTAGTATGTGGGCTTATTTGCCCCTTTTCTCCTCACCAGGCCACAAACTAAAGTTATTTAATTTCTTTTATACTGATACTAATTAAGGTTATAATCTTTATCAATAATGATCGACATTATCCTTAAAATAATTACCATCCGTGATAATACTGCTAATATAATTTGACATTACTATTGACGAAGCAATTTAGCTCAGTTGATTACTGACTCACTCTCTCATACCGGTGATCTCGCGTTCAAACTCCATGGAGAGAATTCTAGTCCTGTTTACCTCAGGCTCCCCTAACCCCTATGGAAAAAAGAAAGAAAATCACATTACTCTTACATTACTTCTTATTTTAAGGAGTAGGTCGTATTGAATTCTCACACCGAATACTTGTAAAAGAATTAAGTCTTATATTAAGACATGAATTACTCCTCCTATGAGATTCATCTTTAATTTAAATAGAACCTCGGGTTTTAACAAATCGAAAACTAGTACACATGGTCCCGCACTCCCGCACTGATAAGTTTATTTAAACAAGTACTTGTAACTCAGGTGTGGGCTACGTTATGACTATAACACACTCAAAAGCTTAGGGTAATCTAATTTTATAAAACATTTGTTTTCCTCATTTAGCTCACATTGTTAACGTTTAAAATTTAGTATAATTACTATTCAACTCATCCGCGGTTTACATTTTTGGATTGGTCCCTCACAATCATGACCTTAATTAACAAATGAAGTTTTTTATTATTACCAAAAGTAGCTGAATTGAAGGTTGAGGAGCCAGTCCCATTGCTTTTATTTCCAGTGATAATTGTCTTCCCAATTCCATCACCAACTAACGTGACGTCGTTAACATTGACGTCAACGTTCTCATTGTACACACCTGCTTTCACATAAATCACAATTCTTCCGCCTTTCTTAGGTATATTAGCTACAGCCTCTTTCACTGTTTTATAATTCCCCGACCCATCTTTTGCCACTACGATATCTGCTGCCTCATCAAATAACGTTGACGGTGACGGAGATGGCGACGTCCGTTTCGATAATCCGTGTTTCCTGTCTTTTAGCCTAACCCAATTTGGGAAGCCGTCTTCATTCAGAGTAAAGCCACAGATTAAAGATGAAAAACCGAAAATTACTACTAAAAATGGACAAATAACGAAGATTAAAAATGTCTTCATTGTATAGTTTGCCATTTTTGAATAATGAAGAAAAATGTCTTCATTGTGTATGTAATATGCTTCAATAAATTAGTTGATTTATAAGTGTATGTCGAAGTGACGGCTATGGCCATTTGGAACACCATTTGCACGCATGCAATTGCAACTTGCAAGCACACTTCCTTATTTGTTAATTTCCATTTCTATTTCTTGCAATATATTACCTCCGTCCCACTCAACTTTGCCAAGTTGATGTTATGTGAGAAATTAGAATAGTAAAAAATTGTGTGGTCGAGATTTTGTGCACAGGAGAGAGAAATGAACAGAGTCACAAATTCATTGTTTTAAATGGAAAGTGACAAACTTTTTTTGGACAAATAAAAAGGGAAAGTTCGAAAAGAAATTACTCGAAATAGAAGTAAAACATAGACAAATTGTATACTATATAGGAGCATTTATACTTTACTATATTAGTGAATGAGTCATATTTTAGAAAGAATTGATAGTAGTAATGGTGGTCAAATTTATACATTTTACCTATGTTTTCATTAGTTCAATTTAATGTACTACGTATATGTCTTTTTTTTTTTTGAAGGGACTACGTATATGTCTTTATGTTATATATACGTATATCTTCTTAATTATATCTAATACGATAGTAATTTAGAACCCATTTGATAATAGAGGTAAAGTAAGCTGAATCTGATGAATTAAAGTTTCTGCTTAAACGGATGGATTGGTCCGATCATTAGCTGAATGCCTGAATCATGTGTATTTATTCAAATGATTTTTATTGATAAGTTATACGATAAAACTATAATAGTCGTATTGTGCAAATTTAGAAAGAATGCAACTTCAATGGGTGAAACTGGTTAAAAGTTTAATCTGGAGTATTTGATAAGAAATTAATCTGATCATGTTGATAAAATAACATAAAAAATAGGTTATCAAACAGATTTTTAACTTGTTTCGTTGATATTCTTACTAATAGCATGTTTATTTAACTGTTATGTGATTTTAAGATTTGTTTTTTTAATTAGCTTAAGCTATTTGAACTAAAGAAATAAGTGAACAGTTGACCAAAATATATCTCGACCGTCTAAAACTTTGACAGCTCTGAACTCCTCTAATTGTCATATGGAACAAGAAATTAGTAATTGTGTAATTTTGTGCCGTTGATATATTTAATTGCCCTAGTGCTTGACGGCTTGGCGCAACAAAAGACTCCGAAAATTTTAGAAAATTTTCGAAAATTTTTGTGCCGGAGTAACAATTTTAGAAAATTCAGTTCCCATTTGGTAACACGAAAATTGGTTGATTCGGTTGATTCTGCTGAAGTTTATGAAATTCTGTCTGAAGTGGCTTTATTGGCTGATTATACTAATTTAAGAAAACAATGTTTTAAAATATATTGTAGTGATAAAATAAAGAAAAAATCATATATGTATAAGCATAACATGATCATCTACAGTAACTTTAGCCAAAACATGCATAAAAGTAACTTTAACCTTTTTTTTATTCTTACACAATTTAGCGTGCGAATACAAAAGTTACTGTCTTTGGTGAAAAGTTAACTGATGAATAATCTGATAAGTAAAAAAAAAGTGTTACCAAACAATCTTGGCTTATAGATTGGTATATTTACTAGAAGAAGTTTAGTGATTCTCAAGAATACTTGCAAATGAAATGATTTCTTTCGTGTTTTCCTTTCATTATTCCAAATTATATTGTAAAAATGCTCTACGTGGTTAACTAATTATTGTACACCCAATCCCGACAATTTTCAATTTATTGATACTCCGTATATAGCGATAAAAATTGTACATCAACAAACTAATCAGAAAGTTCTATTGAATTAGACAAATAAAATCTAGTAAAGATTACAAATGAATAATAAAGCTAGTAATTAAAATCAAATGATGTTGCTCAAGAGAAGTTAAAAGGGAAAATATTTGGAGATTGAGGAGGTATCCAAATAGGAGTTATTTTGATTTTTGTACTCAGGAGTACTACATACAAAACTCAATAAATATTAATTTGGAAATATGCTCTCCTTGGTAATTGTTGTATTTGTGATGTAGAGTGCTCACCGTACAATCGGTTGTACGGTATATGCTCTTATTAGATCATGCCAAATTAGATGACAAAGCACACCAATTTATACATCAGAATGAAGTAAATTTAGTTAAAATGAATATATCTTCGGATTGTGATCCTCTGCCGTGCGGCAAAGGTGCCTTAAAAGCCGGCGCCTAGAGATGCGAAGCCCAAGGTTTATGGTCATTGGTTTGTTGATTGTACGGCTCTCCAAAGCCAGACACACTACCTTGTGGCAAAGTAAGGCAGAGGTTCCGGGAGATCCCACTTTTGCATAGGCACATAAAAATTTCTAAGAGCATCTTCAATGCTAAAATGTGCACGGTGCACATGTGGCATGAGATATAGCCACATAAATATTAGTAAATAAATTATCTCCCTCCTTATTTGAATGATTTAATATAATTTTGGTAAGATTTTCTCTGAAATGTCATAAGATCGTCTCGATGTAGACATTGTGGTTGACATTGTTAAGAAAAACTTATCAAAATTATATAAAAACATGGGATAATTACTATTAGCCCCCTGAGGTTATGTTATAATTATGAAGGCAACCTTGCATTTTCAAAAACCCATTAGTTACCCCCTGAGTTTGGATCATTCTCATTCTTTGCCCCTCACGTTAATATTTTATCGGATGTCCCCGAAGGGACCCCTCACGTTAATATTTGTTACATCAAATTTAATATAACTCTTATATAAAATGAAAATTGTTTATAAAATTAATTTTTAAATTAAAACACAAATTATTATCATATTTATAATTCATTATTGTTGATCATTACTTTTCTACTTAGCTACTCCATCGTGGAATAAATATCATTGAGAGTAGTTAAGGAAAAATACTCACAAGTACTACGTAAGATATAAAATATCATGAATTTTGATACTTCTATTTTAGAAAATTAAATATCATTCAATCTTATAAAACTAATATACTCTTTACTACAAAAAAATTGTGAAGATAGAATCATCACAAATTAGTAACAAAATAAATAAAATATTTAAATAAATCAAAATTCATGTTATTTTAGGTTTTAGATTAATAGCTTTCAATTATTTAGCTCCTATACTGATACATTCTATATTTTAGGTCACTTGGACTATTTGGAGTGGTAAGGTTTTAGGAGTCCAAAATGTTAAATTTAAAAAATTTGGACTCCTAATGATGTGTAGTGGTATGCTAGAAAGGAGTTAAAAATGGGTAAATAGGATAGAGGGTCTTTAAATTAAGACCCACAGAGTCTAAAGAAAAGAGACCAGAGGAAAATCAAGCGTTGTCCTCCCGTGGTGCGCAGGAGCTATACAATTTGATGATGTCATAGTCACATCATTAAATCACAATTATTTTAAAACTCTCATAACCTTTTTATTTTTTATTCAAATTTTTCAAAACATATATCAAAATTCATGAATTTTTATAATCTTTCATATGACACCAATATGTAATATATAAAATGAAAAAAAAAATCTGAAATTATAATTGTTGAAATTTTTTTCAATCTAAAATAACAAGAACACAAGTTTTTAATTCATGGATCTCCACAAATTTCTCACTATTCCGCAATCGAACTTTACTTGTTCTATGTTCATTTTTTGTTAACCGAAAAATGTTAAAAGAAATTAATGAAGTTTATTTATTTTTATATCAAAATGTGTATATTTTTATTTCATAATAATTCAGATAAAAAATTTAAAAGAAGAAGTTAGTTATAATAATTTAAATAATGTTTTACTAAATTGATATGTAAAAAAATGTGCAGAGTGTATTTTATTGACGGTGATGGAATGCAGAGAAATAAGAGTCAAAACACTGTTTTCATATCGACGGAGTCCATTTTTGACATTTAGACTCTTGCACCACTCCAAATGGTCTTATTGATGCTTGATCTATCTTTTAGCTCATGAAAAAATGAAATTCCTATTTTCTTGGTATTTCTTCTTTGTTACACATGAAAGAAATGTCATTGAGAACAAATCAACCGGATGAATTTCAAATACTTTTATATTCATGATGAAGAAGTGCCTATAATTTTGACAACATGTTTTTAAATAACAATCAACAACAATGAGGGGGTAGCCAATTGAATTTTAAAAATGTAAGATTGCAATAATGATTATGACATAACATCAGAGGACTAATAGTTATTTTTCCTAAAATCATTCAAATAAGTAAAGGAATAATTTATTTAATGATATTTTTGTCGTTATATCTTATGTCACTTGTACAACATACATATTGTAGCATTGGATATGCTCTAAACAATGATAATTAACGAAGTGAAATTATTGTGAAATGTTTCATAAGAACAAAAATTCAAATATTTTCCCGCTTGCGATAGGGTAAATCTGGTTTGCTAAAAAAACCTACGGGTTAGCCGAATTGGTTTAGCTAATCAAAAGCCGGATTCCCTCCCCAAGCATGATTTATGCTTCCATTCATAGAAACCGACATCTGGATTTACAGAGCTCTCTACCCTCCACCATTTCTACATACTCTGGTCTAGAACTCGTTTATTCCTTTCTTCACATCTTCAAACCAAATCAAATATTCAAATCCAGCAAAGTATATATTTTTATTTAATTTTTATATTTTTTTGGAGCTTGATCCGAATTGATTTAGTTTCAAATGGAAGAAAGCGCGTTACCGTTCACCTGCCTTCCCGTGCATTTATGCTTTCTAGAACGTGCGGAGAAGTCATTAAAAAACCTCGCAGCAAAGTAAATCATCTTTTTGATAGCATTAGTATAATTTTCTATTCTCGGAAAGCCTACTACTGATCTGCTATCGATTCGGCGGTGGCGTGAGGAAGTGATGGCTGGAGAATCGTTCATATACAGCTTTGTGGCTCGGGGAACTATGGTTCTGGCGGAGTACACAGAGTTCACCGGGAACTTCCCGGCGATTGCCGATCGCTGCCTGCAGAAGCTTCCATCAACTAACAACAAGTTCACTTATAACTGTGATCACCACACTTTTAACTTCCTAGTTGAAGATGGTTATGGTAAGTAATTGCTCTGTCCTTTCTGTATCTCTACTTGTTTTTTTGGTTTGTTAATATTTTCAATCTGATAGAGTCTCGCCTGATCCAGTGGTTTCTGGTTGAATTTGAAGTTTTTGGATCTAAGATCTTAGCTAAAGATTGAACTATTATGGTATGTCATAGGTCGATGCAAATTCTAAGGACAGTTATTAATTAGACTCCGTAGTTTTGTGTCATCATCAAAGTAATTAATTAATTAGATCGTATCAAGTGAGGATCTCCTTTTGAGATTTTGCCTGTGATGATCAATGACTTGCAAATTTATAAAGATTTTATTTGGTGGATCAGCTTGAGATTTTGCTCTTTCCTTCTTTTTGTATCTCTACTAGTTTTTTTTTGTTTTGTTAATTTTTAATCTGATAGAGTCTCTCGCGATCCAGTGGGTTCTGGTTGAATTTGAATTTGAAGTTTTTGGATCTAAGATCTTAGCTAAAGATTGAAAGTTTATGGTATGTCATATGTGGATGCTGAAGTCAAAGCAAATTCCAAGGATAGGCATTAATTAGACTCCATAGTTTTGTGTCATCATCAAATTAATTAATTAATTAGATCATATCAAGTCAGGTTCTCCTTTTGAGATTTTGCCTGTGATGATGAATGACATGCAGATTTATAAAAAAATTATTAGGTGGATCAGCTTGAGATTTTGCTCTCTGCTATGGATGAGTTACTAATTTATAGGTTAAAATCTTTTTTTGTTTTATGTTCTTTCTATATCCCTAAAGCATGACATTAAGTTAAATAACCATTCCGTGTTGCATTCAGTCTTAGCCATAGTTTTGTAGTCAATTAGGGATTAATTAGGCTTTGTTTGGGAGGAGGGTTTTCGGGAGAATGGAGGAGAGGGGCCTCCTCCTGTTCAATAGTTTTGAAAATTAGAAGGTAGTGAGTTTAGATATTTTTACAATCCCCCAATACCTTTCAGACCAACGTTTTTTGGTTCCACCAAGTTGGACAGTTAGGAGGTATAAAGTAACTAAATTACTACTTTTCCATTTCAAGTCAGTTTATGTTCCTCTGGTGATATCTGTATTCATGGTGTTTTTTAGCAAATTAAAGATTCATCAGATCTGAATTGTAAATTCCTTTTAGGGTATGTTTTTTGAATATTCAAAAAGGCTATGTTAAGGAAACACTTAAAGAGATTGTGCTCAGGAAAGTTATGTTATTACAGTATGTCTGGTTTTACCATGGAAAGTGCAAAGGAAAATGAGTTAGATTCTTAGGCATTGAGTAATACACAAATAAATAGAGTATCAACAAATATTTAAAACAAATTCATTGAGTTTTAGTATATCTATTATTTCCTCCCATTTTTTCTTTTATTTTTTCTTTCATATGTTCATTCCCAAGTATTTTCCTGCATTCAACTAGACCCTTACTAAATTGCCTGCATTTTGAATATTGTTTAAGTGAGTTTCCAAATAACATCACATGGTTGTTGACAGTTGAGATGATGCTTTTACATGTCAGCTTATTGTGTTGTGGCCAAAGATTCAGTTGGAAAGCAAATTTCGATTGCCTTTTTGGAACGTTTAAAAGCAGACTTTAAGAAAAGATATGGTGGTGGTAAAGCAGATACGGCTGTTGCGAAGAGTTTGAATAAAGAATTTGGGTATTTTTGTCTTCACTTTTTTTTCTTGAATTCGAGTACTCAACCTCATAGAGAAGCAATAATTACAATAAATATGTCCTGATACACACAGACCATGTATGAAGGAGCACATGAAGCACATAATTGACCATGCTGACGAAATTGAGAAACTACTAAAGGTTAAGGCTCAAGTCTCTGAAGTCAAAAGCATTATGCTCGAAAACATAGACAAGGTATAGTTTATGAACTTTGACAGGCTCCATTTGGCTCCAAGATTTCGGTAGGAAGCGTGATTACCACTTTTTTACGTTCTTTAGTTTATATATCACCAATACATGGAAGGAGTAGCAACTCCTACTGAAGAAATAACAAAAATACTTTTCTTTGATTGGTATGAAAGTCTTGTATATGTTTCAGGCTATTGAAAGAGGAGAAAATTTGACAACTCTTACCAACAAGGCAGAAGATCTACAAAATTCGGTAGGGTTGCATGCATTTTAAAAGATTTAAATAAACTCTGAGAGATGTTATGAGGTTAGTTAAAAATCTTGTCTTGCCCACAAAAATGTCAGGCCAAACAATTCAAGAAACAGGGGACTGAAATCCGTCGCAAGATGTGGTATCAGAACATGAAAGTAAAGCTGGTTGTGCTAGGAATTCTCGTCTTTTTGGTGCTTGTAATCTGGCTTTCTGTTTGTCATGGCTTCAACTGCGCCAACTAGCATAGTCATTCTCGCGCAACTAGGCATACCTGATTCACTTCTAGTCTTCCAAACAAGACATTGAGAAGCACTTCATGCTTGCAGAACATTACAATGAAGCTGTGGGGTTTCTTTTTCTTTTCTTATATTGTTCATTCTATATTCTTGCCCCAAAAGAAGGAAATGGTCAGTAGGAGGGCGGGCGGGCAGGAGGCTTGTTGTGCTGCAATTGCATATTCTTTAGGTTAGATGAGATGTAAACATTCTTTAGATTGAAATATAGCGGAAAGGATGATTTTTGCAATAGAATGAGCTACTACTATTCAATTTGTATACATTCATTCCAATAATCAACCGATCACTCGAAAATAACTATGTTACCGTAACAGAGCTTTTCGCAAACAGGTTGGCAAAAGATGTTCGTTTACGGAATTACGTATCAGCTATGTTTTTATTTTCAAACATTGACTCTTATATTGGGTTGATTAAGCTAAATAATAATCAAAAGGAGGGCACACGAGTTTTTGGTGAAATGGATGGAATTAAATAAAGCCACACTTTTATCTTTAGTTGTAATTTTGTACATATACTATAGAGAATCATATTAATTTATTTAAAATGAAATTATTTGGAATATTCCAGTTCTTCAATACTCCGTATAAATAGTGCTGGACTCGGGCCGGGCGGCCCGGCCCGGAACCGGCCCGGCCCGGTTACTGTTTGGCCCGGCCCGGCCCGGGGCCCGGTGGGTCCCTCGGTTCGGTTCGGCCCAGCCCGGCTGCTGGGCGGTTCGGGCCCGGGCCCAGGTTTTGGTGAACCGGCCCGGCCGGTTCGGGCCCGGTCCGGGCCGGATTTTAATTTTTTTTTTTTTTGAAATTTTTTTAAGTTTTAGGTTGGATTAGGTATTTTGGGCCATTTGAGGTGGTTTGGGATGGTTTGGGGTTGAAGGGGAGGGGTAGGGGATTAAATAAGAGAACAAAAAAAAAAATTATTGGGCCGGTTCGGCCCGGCCCGGCCTGGCCCGGTTTGGCCCGGAACCGGGACCGGAACCGGCCACCGGCGGTTCGGGCTCGGGCCTCCCTTTCCTGGCCCGAGGCCCGGCCGGGCCCAGGCCCGAACCGGGCCCGAACCGGCCCGAGTCCAGGCATACGTATAATACTAAGCCATTTCTGGATCCATTCAATGTTTTGGATAGATAAACTCAGTAGGAGAAATGTCTCTCTTTTTTTGGCAAAAGAAACCTATCTTATTTTAGTTTGTATATTGAATATTTGGGATAGTATAACATGCCGCTGCAAATTGGGTAGTATTAAAAGCTTGAGCTCCATTTTAAAAGATCATTTTGATACAAGTAATCCAGAATCTTAAATTTCATAGTAACAATCTCTCAAAAAAAATCAATGTGATATTTTATATTCCTCCGATGAATGATCCAAATAATGAAATAAACCATAAACGCTTTACCTTTTATCATGGATGCTAGCTAAAAATAATTAGGTTACAACTTACAACTAAACCAGACTCGGATATTATATTATGATTTAGAGTTTCATCATCATAAGAAGTTAGACTATTTCAATTCAATATTTTATACGTAGTATATTTGTTTGGAAATTAGAAAGTTTCAGTTTCTCTCCATTTCTTATCAATTTCTTTTTCTCTTCCTATCTCTCACTACATTTCTATCTATCTTACTCATCCATATACCCCACTTAAAATCTCCTCCTCTCTATCTCTCTCCCACCGGATCCAAATTCAAATTAGAGACTACTAATTTCTAGGCGTTGCCAATGGCTTTTATTTTTAATTTATTACTATATTTTAATTTGACATGTTTTTTGAATTTAATACTTAGTACTCCCTTCGTCCCGGTTGAATCTTGACGTTTGCTTCTGACACGGTGTTTTAGGAGCTCAATTAATAGAAGAAGTTGGTGGGTAGTGAAAGGTAATTAAGACATTTAATGTAAAAGGAATTGTTTAAAAATGAAACGTAAATAAGTAAATGAGACGTTCAAAAAAGAAAAGTGTAAAGATTCAAATGGGACCGAAAGAATATTATGTATACTTCGAGTTTTTTTCCAGAATAATACTAATTTAATAAATAATTCCCAAAATAATGTTGGGTTAAGAATAATTCCCAAACTAACGTGGGATTAACACCCGTTAACAAAGATGCGGTTGGAGTTGGCGAACGAAACCAAGCATGGAAAGGAATGCAGCAATTCAAATCACTGTAGAGATTTAAAAAAAGAAATCTCTATTTCTTTAAATTGCTATAACTTTTTATTTGTAATCTGATTTTTACAAACAATACATCAAAATTTCACAATTTTTTATTATCTTTCATATGACACTAATATTGCATATACAAAAAAAATCCAAAAATACGTTTGGTGGAGGTTGTCATATTCAATTTTTCTAAGTCGGTCCAGGTTCTAAAATTAAGAGCATGTTTGGTAATGCCGAAATTGACTGAATTGGCTAAAATTGATCAAATTACGAGTCAAGTGGCTGAATTGACTAAATTTGCTTAGTTATGAAATAATTATTTTTAAACTATATTTTATTAATAATTTAAATAAAAATTACGGGTATATGATAATAATTAAATGATCATTTAGAGAATCTTAATATACAATATTAATTATTATACACGAAAAGTAAATACAACCTTACTTATTTTGATTATTGTAATTATTATGCAATATTTAGTAACTTTAGTCTTACTTATTTTGATTAATATACAATTCATCTATCGTCAACACAATATGAAATTGGCTGAAGTTACTATATATTGTATCATACTTAAAATAATCAAAATTGATAAGATTGGAGTTACTTTTATTGTCGAATGTTCTATAAATGAACATTTTAGCTATTATAATGGATGATCCAATTGAAGCTATTGTTAAGATCACATCCCAATTTTGAAAAACAATGTAATGACATTTTTTATTTTAATTCCAAGACAATTCTAGCGCCAACCATTGATAAACGCGATAAGATCAATGATTACATGTTGGTACTAACTGCATGTGAGGTAAAGATATACTAAAGCTCAGATTCAACGTCTCCTTTTGACTCAGATAGTGCATTCTTACAAGAGATCCACTTTCCAGAAATTTTCAATACCATTAAATGCTCTTGTGTGCCAAGCCATGTGTTTTGGATTGAGAAATGGCACTCGCGTTATGTTCACTATACTCGGAGCCCATACTCTCGATGCTCGGATGATGTATGGAATCAATGGAGGACAAAAAATTCTTATTCGGAAACTTAGCTCGACTCCATCCGACCTAAAGTTGTTGTTTACATTTCAACGCAACCAACTCTCTTTGATGTTTAGTTACGTGATGACCATTAATTAGAATCAGAGATAGTTTTTGCACAGGCTTGAAGTTACTTTTCTAGGCGAAGATTCTGTAAATAAACATTTTAGTTATTTTATTTTCATATAATTTTTCTTTATGTTATAAATAAAATGTATTTAAAAATAATTATTCTATAACTAAGACAACTCAATCAATCCTGCCCTTGACTCATAATTTCAACTTCAACAGATTCGATCAACTTCAATGTTACAAAACATGCTCTTAATTTTAGAACTTAGATCGAATTAGAAAAATTGAACATGACTTCCTCCAGCAATTGTATTTTAAGATTTTTCGTTATTGTATATGCAATATTGATGTCATATGAAAGATATAAAAAATTGTCAATATCATGTTAGGAATATTTTTTATAGCAATGTAAAGAATTAGAGAGATTGTTTTTTTAAAAGTTTGGGTCCCACTACAATGATTTGAATTGCTGCATACGTTTCCTTGCTTCATTATGTTCGGCGATATGGGTGGACTCGGTTCGGGCCGGGCACGGTTCGGGCCTTGAACCGGCCGGGCCTCGGTTCACCAAAAGGAGGGCCCGGACCCGAACCGGTGGCTCCCGGTTTCGGGCCAGACCGGGCCGGTTCCGGGCTGGGCCACTCGGGTCATTTTTTTTTGCTTCTCTTATTTAACCCCCTATCCCTCCCCCTTAACCCCAAACCACTTCAAATGGCCCAAAATGTGACATACACAATACTATGTCATTAAGTAAACAAATTGTGACATATTTATAACTTAAGCTCAATTTTTACGCTTGAACGATCATTACACAATACTATACTAACTTTTAGTCATATTTTTATTAATAAGTTTTATTTTAATAATAATTTAGAAATAACCTTCAAAATAAAAAGGACACTGTAACCTTACACATGATTATTCTCATTCACCTTCCGGCTTCCACCTTGTGCCAAAAAATGGTGTGTAATCCACGTCTTTCCCACCAGTCTATCCAAGCAACTGAAGCAAGGTAATGTTAACAATCCGTATCAACTTGGGCTACGGGAAGGGTCATTATTTCTCTAGGTGTATTTATTTTGCCGGAGGGTACGGATGTACTGTTCAACTAGTGATGTGGGACCAAGGCCCATTAACACCAACAAGAAGAATCACTCATTTTTAGGGGTGGGTTCGGTTCTTTCGGTTCAGTTTTGACCTAAAACCAAATACGGAACCCAAGTAAAAGTTCGGTTCGGTTTCGGTTCGGTTTTACACTCCAAAACTTGGAACCACGGTTTGATTGGTTCGATTTTTTTCGGTTCGGTTTCGGTTCCTTCGGTTATTTACTAAAAATTTGTCATTTGATTTAAAATTGATATAATAGTTGGAGGGATCAAAGAAATTACATAAAAAATGCAAGCATACTAGAATAAATGAAGTAAAAATAAGAGTAAATAAACATGTCTTGAATTATATGAGGATGCGGAAGACATATAAGTGTATACATTCTTAATTTACATTATTTGTGTCTAGTTTGAAAAAAGTTCATGAATACATACGTCCTATGTGATACTTTATATAGCTAAGATGAATATTTATTTGTTTTACCGATAAAAAAATAAGTTACATAAAAATAAAATTTAATTAATACTAATAACCAGTAAAAACAATAATCATGCAACAAATTGCAACATACATAAATCGATCAATATAGCTACATTATCATAGGCAATGAATGTGTAAATGCAATTACAAACTAAACTAAACTAACATAACACAAACATTATTTCTCTAGCACATAAAAATCAAAGACTATTGATAATATTAGGATTAATGCTTAAAAATTAACAAAAAAAATTTCATATTTTAAATACTTCGGTTTGTTCGGTTCGGTTTTGAAGGGTAAAAACCAAAACCGAACCAAATAATTACGGTTCGGTTCGGTTTTTTACATTCGGTTTCGGTGTTTAGCAGTTCGGTCTTATTTGGTCGCGGTTCGGTTTAATTTGATTCGGTTTTCGATTTTTGGTTTTCCGGACCCAGCCCTACTCATTTTAGGGGTTATCCCAGTCTGGTTCTGGTCATATATTGGTGCTAACTACTCGCTATAACTGGGAGTCTGGGACCGGTTATTGCAAGTCC